CCTGCAACTTTACCAAATTCAGTTATTAGTTTTAACAGTTTTTTTGATGGAGTCTTTAGTATTTTCTATATATACCATTATGTCATCTGTAAATAGTGACAGTTTTACTTTTTCCTTTCCAGTTTGAATGCCTTTTATTTATTTTTCTTGCCTATTTGCTCTGGGGGGAGCTGATAGCTTCACTGGTGAATTCTAAGACGACTTAGTAACCTGTCCTTTTTTTAAAAGCATCTGACAAAAATTCAACATCCAGTTATAAGAATTCTCAACAGAGTGGGTGTAGAAGAAACATATGTCAATATAGTAAAAGCCATATATGACAGGCTTACAGTTAGCATTCTACTCACTGGTGAAAAGCTGAGAGCCTTTCTTCTAAGATCAGGAACAACACAGGGATGCCCCCTCTTGCCACTTTTATTCACTAAAGTAGATTTTATATTGTCATTGCTATTGGTTACATGGACGTATGCAGTTTCCAAACTGTAAGGATCTGTCCCTTTCTATATGTAAATAATCTGTAGGAATGTAAGACGGAAATTTATACAAATGTGGCACTCCTTAGTAACTTCAATATGTATGCCTACAACTTTATTCACCACTAACATTTTTGTAAAACATGTTTAGGCTAACAATGGTTTGTTATGAAAGTTGGATTAGTAGTGCAAATATTGAAGAAACTCTCAGCTTTCTACTGGATTAGAATCAGGCCAGTAGGGTTCAGACATTGATGTTAGTCTTACAGCTCTAAATATGGAACTATCTCTTTGTTGCTGTATATGTTATAGGCATAGCACATTTTGTATATTCAGTTATTGATTTTTGTCCTTCAGGACCCAATGCTTTTGTATAGCATTTATAGTTTTTTTCATTGTACAAATTTCTTACCTTTTTAAAAAAATTTATTCATGAAAGAGACAGAAACATAGGCAGAGCAGCCCGGTGGCTCAGCAGTTTGGCACTGCCTTCAGCCCAGGGTGTGATCCTGGAGACCCGGGATCGAGTCCCACGTCGGGCTCCTTGCATGGAGCCTGCTTCTCCCTCTGCCTGTGTCTCTGCCTCTCTCTGTGTCTCTCATGAATAAATAAACAAAACCTTTAAAAAAAAAAAAAAGAAAGAAAGAAACACAGGTAGAGGGAGAAGCAGGCTCCCTACAGGGAGCCTGATGTGGGACTCAATCCCAGGACCCTGGAATCACGACCTGAGCCAAAGGCAGATGCTCCACCACTGAGCCACCCAGGCATCCCAGTTTCTGACCTTTCTCTATATATATTTTCTTCATATCCATATTTTCATTATTGATTATTCATTTACTTACCTGTAATGGGTTAATAGTGTCCATTAAATGCCTCAGTACTAAGGACAGATATAGCGAATATAGATTAACAAACACCAGGATAGCCATAATCAAACTAAAATGATCTTATATAACCGCTGACTGCTCATAGCCGTGAGCATGCCTGATGATCCTTTGTTGTACATTTTAGCTTTTGAACTCATTTAGAAAGATTGCTCCAACAATAAACTCTCTCTCAAATCTAGTCAGGTATATCATGTGATCTCTTTAAATCGATGGGGAAGTATAACATACTGTATTTTAAAAACCTTTATAGTGACTTCACTTTTCACCTTATAGTAATACCCAAGCTGAGAGTCTGTCAGAATAATGGTAGAGAATTAGGAGGGAGGAAAGATGGTGGTTTGAACACAGATGAAATAAGATTGACCATGTGCTGATTATCGTTGAGAATGTTGCACAAAAAGAATTACATCAGCACTTTAAGATAGAGAATCTTGAGTTTCTATCTAATCTCCAAAATAAGAATCTCCAGAAGGATGCCTGGGTGGCTCAGTCGGTTAAGTGTCAGACTGTTTCAGCTCAGGTTGTGATCTCTGAATCATGAGATTGAGACCTGCGCTGGGCTCCACATTTAGTGCAGAGTTCGGCTGGTCCTCTCCCTCTGCTCCTCCCCTCACTCACATGCTTATTCACCTTTCTCTCCCTCTCTCTCTCACAAATTAATTAATTAATTAATTAATTAATAAAATCTTGCAAAAAGAGTCTCTAGAAAGAAGGCACAGTGATCTCTTTCTATATATTTTTAAAGATTTTATTTATTTATTCATGAGAGACACAGAGAGAGGCAGAGACACAGGCAGAGGGAGAAGCAGGCTCCTTGCAAGGAGCCCGATGTGGGACTCTATCCCGGGACCGGGATCATGCCCAGAGTCAAAGGCTGATACTCAACTGCTGAGCCACCTAGGTGTCCCTAGTAATCTATATTTTTAAGAAACAACCTATATGAGTTTTATTTAGCTAGTCATACTATTGCACGCAGGGTGTGTTTTGTTTTCCTCCTTATGAGCAGCTTTTTTATTGGTAGGACATCTTGCTAAGACAATCTATGAGTTGTTGCCCAAATCTCTTTATGGAAATTTACCAATGGGCTCTTCTAACTAGATTATCCCTATCTGCTTACAAATCAAATGTTGTAACACTTGATTCACATTATACTCTTGCTACTGCTCTGTTTTTCTAATGTCCTTTGTAGCCAAATTATCTGAGTTGTCTGAATTTGCTGTCAGGTTATCCTCTTTCTTCTTGAATCACCTCCAAATTTTGTTTAGTTTCTACCCCTCCACATTAAATGATCTTGTCAAGATAATCAGTGATCTTTTTTTACACATTGTTAATTCTAAATTCTCTTTAACATAGTTAATAACTTCTTCCTCCTTGAAATATTTTCACTTTGCTTTTATGATATATCACTTTCTTTTTTTTTTTTTTGACTCACTGTCTCTCTTCAGTGTCCTTGCTGGTTCCATCTTTACTTTCTTATCTCTTATTTTTGTAACATCCCAGGGCTCAGTCATTGGACCTGTTCTTTTTTGTGTCCATGCTCATGCTCTTGATGCTTTCATGTAATTTCCTTGCTTTAAATATCATTTCTAAGCAGATGACTTCCAAATTTATATCCTCAGCTTGGATCTGTCCCCATATCTCTGAATGCCCATATTCAACTGCACACTAAAGATCCTACTAGGACATCTTTCAGGTATTTTAAACTAACATTTCTAAACACAAGGTTCACATCTCTCTTCTCTCCAACCTGGTCTTCCATAGCCATATTCCATTTCAGCTTATTGACAATTCCATTTTACCAGATTATCACATTTGTAGGAGTATGTTGAATGACAAATTTAGTGACCATCTTTGCTTGCTATACACAGAGGTATTTTTTGTGGCATGTACTTTATGTAGAACTTGTGGGAAAGGTTAAACAACTCAGCAGTACTAAACCATTTGGCACAGAGAAAAATAGCCCAATAAATTTAGGATAACTAAAATTTTGAAACACAAACTTAGTAGCATTACAAATTTTTAAGAAAAAGATTATGATGTATTTATGTATTTCTTAATGTTCCTGTTTTGGGTTTAGGCTATTGCACTTTGTAATGTGTCAGCTCTAGGTACAGGAAGCTTTGCAATGGTTTAAATTAATTGGTGGGGGTGGGGGTGGGTGGGTGGGGGTTAGCTTTCTTACATACCAAGAAATCCAGAAAAAGGCAGTAGTTTAACATGGTCCATTTCCAAAAAGAAGAGAAAAGTCCATTTCCTCAGCACTGCTATTAGAGACCCCCAGATTGTTTTGTTTCTCTTCTTTGTCAGCCTTCTTGTTTTTTAATACTCAGACTTGTTGACTCATGGTCATAGGATTGTTGTTGCCTCAGTAGACATGTTTATATCTATCCCTAGATAAGGAGCACAAATATTTGCCTATAACCAACCCCATTCCATTCTCAAAGCAGACTTCATATGTCACTGATCTCAACTGTGTCCTCCGACCCCTGTCCATCCATCTTGAAAGGATCTATTGTGGATATTTAGCTGGGTTCATTACTACCCCAAATAAAGTAAAATTTCTGTAAAGGGAGGAATAGAATCTGAGCGTCTATTACCATTGCTTTACAGAACCATCAGAAACTACTGAATATAGGGGTGCCTGGGTGGCTTCGTTGGTTAAGTGTTCAACTTCTGGTTTTGGCTCAGGTCATGATATTGAGATCATGAGATCGAGTCCTGAATCATGCTCTTTGCTCAGTGCAGAGTCTGCTGCACTGAGCAAATTCTCTCCCTCTCTCCCTCTCTCTCTCTCTCTCTTCCCCGTCTCCCTGCCAACTCTCACTTGTGTGCTCCCTCTCTCAAATACATACATACATACATACATAAGAAAGATTTTATTTATTTATTCATGAGAGACACACAGAGAGAGGCAGAGTCATAGGCAGAGGGAGAGGCCAACTCCTTGTGGGGAGCCTGATGTGGGACTCCATCCCAGGACCCCGGGATCACAACCTGAGCCCAAGGCAGATGCTCAACCACTGAGCCACTCAAGCATACCTAAAGAAAATATTTTTTGAAAAACTATTAAATTTAATACAATTGGTTATTTGAATTTATTTGTTTGGAAAAACCTTATTCTTTCTCAGTAGTTTCAAATAAATGGGATTTTAGTGGTAGTTGGGTATTTATTATTTGATACAGATGAGGGCTTACCATAGTTTAAAAATAATTAAAAACAATCCAGTGACTGATTAAGAAGCTAGCTATGTATTTAAAGCTTAGCAAATTTGTGTGTTTAATACTAGTGAATTTTTGAGAATTATAATTTACATTTTGATGCAAATAAGAATTTAGAAGAGATGATCTTTAAAGCCATAAAGATCTCTTTTTATTTATTTATGTTTGTTTGTTTATTTATTTATTTATTTTTAAATATTTTATTTATTCATGAGAGATATACTGAGAGAGACACAGACACAGGCAGAGGGAGAAGCAGGCTCCATGCAGGGAGCCCGATGTGGGACTCGATGTGGGATTCGATCCTGGGACTCCAGGATCACGCTCTGAGCCAAAGGCAGACACTCAACTGCTGAGCCACTCAGGTGTCCCAAGATCTCTTTTTATTGTTAATTTTGTTTCTTTATTTTGGTTTCCACAGAATGTTGGCTCAATTAAGAAACATCAGGGAGATAAATTCAACCCAGTGGTAAGTAGCTTTAATTTGTTTTGTTAGAAAGTATTTGGCTTGTTGTTATGCCTTTTTTTTCTTGGTTGGCTTTTCTTTCTCCATTTGATTAGAATATTTTTATGTCTCCCTTGTTAACTCCGATTTATAAAGTGGCTCTTAGTTATCATAACACTAAAATTCTAATGACTGTTCCCATGTTGATCACTTCCTTTTGAAAACAGGCCAGGCTTTCTTCCTCTGGTTTACTTCCTTTTAGTATTGTATAAGGGAGGCTCTTTTTGGTTGTTAGTACTCATTTATTTCTCTTTCATATGATACTTTCCTCCCATTCCCTCAGTAATGAAGTTCCCCCTCCTTTCTTAGCAATCAGCAGTTTTAATCTGCTATAAATTAGAGTTCATTTTTGTATGGGCTGTAGGCTCACTGAATTCAATCTGAGATCTAAAACTGCTCTCTTCATAGCTCTGTCCACAGGAAATTTTTACTTAAGATGTAAATTGTTTCCTAGAGCATCTAATTTCCTTTTTTAAAGTCATAGTCTCTTCTTAGAAGTTGTAAAACTTCTGACCACCCATCATGTTTTACCTTCATTAACAATTACTCTGTCTTATAAATTGCCTTATGCTTCATGTGTGCTGCACAGGTGATATCTAAGATACACTCTTTTTAATTACATATATTTGGTCATAAACTTTTCATGCCCTTTATTCTCAGCTAGCAGTTATACTCTCAAATCCATTACAATTTCAGGAATTTTTAGGCCATATCTTACCAGTTCTTTGGTACTATCATATTATATAAATATAAGCATGCAATATTTATAATTTGATAAACAGAATAATATTTTCAAACATCAAACCAACACTGTCCCACAGAACTTTCCGCACTGATAGAAATAATGTTCTCTGTCTTCTGTTACTGAGTATAGTAGCCACTAGCCACGCATTTGGCTGTTGAGCTTTTAAAATGTGCTTAGTGTGACTGAGAAACTAGATTTTTAATTTTATTTAATTTAACTTGAATTTTAAGTTAAAAATGGTTAAGATGGCCACATGACTAATGGCTACCATGTTGGAAAGAGCAGATTGAGTTCCGCATTGTTCTTAAGTGTCCTCTTAACTTATCAGTTTAAATCTTAAAATCTCTTGAGCAGAAATTTCATACTCATTTTTGGAATCTTTTAATTTGGGGATCTCATAAACACACAAGTATAAGCTAAATTCCCCTGTAGCAATGAAATTTTTTTTTTAAGATTTTATTTATTTATTCATGAGGGAGAGAGAGTCAGAGACACAGGCAGAGGGAGAAGCAGGCTCCATGCAGGGAGCCCGATGTGGGAGTTGATCCCAGGTCTCCAGGATCATGCCCTGGACTGAAGGCAGCGCTAAACTGCTGAGCCACCCAAGCTGCCCTGAAATTCTTATTAGATCAACAAAACTGCTCATTCTAACCAGTAAAACTATATTCTTAATAAGCATTCAGTAAACTTTTCTGGATATTTCTTTGTTGATAAAGTTTTTTTTTTTGTTTTTATTGAAGTATAATGGACCTAGCTATGTTAATTTCAGGTGTACGGTATAACAATGATTTGATATATGCATATATTGCTAAATGTCCACCAAAATTTAACATCTATCACCATATGTAGTTATAAATTTTTTTTCTTGCTATGAGAGAACTTTTAAGATCTACTCTCATAGCAATTTTCAAATATACAGTACATTATTATTATTAACTATAATCACCATGCTATATATTACATTCCCATGAGGCAATTTCATATAGAAACTTTTATATTTGACCTCATAGTGTAGGGGAAGAAACATTTTCCTTGGCCCTTTTAGGGTCTTTGGCTAGGTCTGAAAACTAACTTCACAAAGACAGTTTAATAAGAGAAAGCATGCAAATTTATTTAATACAAGTTTTTAAGTGGCAGAGGAGCTTTTATAAAGAGTAAGGACATAAAGAAACCATTAAAACTTCGTATTTTTATGCTAGGTTTGATGAAGAGTGTGACTTGCATAGAAAGAAGTATGATAAGTCAGTATGAGGTTTAATGTAGTAAACTGGGGGAAGTTTAATAAAGCCCATTTGTTAGGATTCGTCTCCATTCTTTAGAGATTAGACTGGTTTTTTCCTCCAGGTATAAGGAAGGCACTTCTCACATGAGGACTTTATGACCTATTTCATTGGATAAGTGCAAAGGGAGGACATGCAAAGGGAGGGAGCAACATGACCTTCCTGCTTCTGTTGTTTTCTCACATTCCTTAAGTTGAAAGAACTCAATATGTCATGGTACCGTACTTTGGAGTGGTGTGTTCTGAATCTGATCAGTATTTTATTTTTGTAAACTCTAAAGGAGAAGTGCCTAGTAAAGACCTATTAATATTTTATTCATTTTGAGAATATGATTTCACGTCTATCATTATGTATTTAGGAGCAGTGTAATGCAGTAAGAGCAAAGAATCAGTTTCTTTATGGAAAAATAGGGATAATAGTACATGTCTTAGATATATGAGGATGAAATGAGAATATACATGTATTTTATCTAAAGAACTTAGCACAGTACCTGGCACATGGTGATTGACCAAGAATAGTTATATTTTTAAAAGATTGCAAGAGAAATGCTTAGTTGTCAAACACTTTAAGAATATCACATAATTTGAAATAGAACAGTTGGAAGCAGTACTTAAGTATTAGTCATTTTGTTCATAAACAGATTATTTTTCAGTGATTTTTAATTTAAAAGACAATGCAGTAAAATATTTAATTTGATTAGTGAGTTTTTTCGGTGCTTCATTCTATTTTGTGCTTGAGACCATTTCCCTCATTGGTTTCAACCTAGTCTTGGCCCTGGTTAGAAGTATTCTATTACTCTAAGAGTCTTCTGGCTTAAAGCAAGAATTCCTATTTTACAAAGAGTTCTTAACTTGATTAACAGTCATTCTTATTTATTTAAGTAGGCTTTTCTTTGGTAGTATAATCTTAGACTAGTTGGAATTAATCTGTGGATATGTAAGTTAAAATTAGCCAATTTTAAGCAGCATTGTTGCTTAACCAACATTAACCAACCAGTGGCTCAGTTGGTTAAGTGTCAGCCTTTGGCTCAGGTAATGATCCTAGGATCCTGGGATTGAGCCCTGCATTGGTCCCCCTGCTCAGTGAGGAGTCTGCTTCTTCCTCTCCCTCTGCGGCTCCTCCTGCTTGTGCACTCACTCTCTTTCTCTCTCTCTATATATATATCAAATAAATAAATAATCTAAAAAAAAAAATAAACCTGGAGACTTTTCACTAATTTCCCCCATTTAACTTGAAACAAATCTGTATATATACTTTATTAAGTAAGTTTATTCTCTAGTGTGTAACGTTACACAAAAAGAGGGTCTATAAGCTCTTTAGAAAAATGAAAAGAGGGCAGCCTGGGTGGCTCAGCGGTTTAGTGCCGCCTTCAGCCCAGGGCATGATCCTGGAGACCCGGGATCGAGTCCCACATCGGGCTCCCTGCATGGAGCCTGCTTCTCTCTCTGCCCGTGTCTCTCCCTCTCTCTCTACCTCTCTCTGTGTCTCTCATGAAGAAATAAATAAAATCTTTAAAAAAAAGAAAGAAGAAAAATTAAAAGACCAATATTTAATTGAAACAAGGTACACTTGACATATATTGGAATTTTGATGTAGAAGAGCCTTGGAGGGATGCGTGGGCAGCTCAGTGGTCTGCCTTCAGCTCAGGGCATGATCCCGGAGTTCCAGGATCGAGTCCCACTAGGGCTCCTTGCATGGAGCCTGCTTCTCCCTCTGCCTATGCCTCTGCTTCTCTCTGTATGTCTCTCATGAATAAATAAAATCTTAAAAAAAAAAAGAGCCTTGGAAAGTTAAAGGAGTGATTGATTCTGATGGCTTATTAAGGAAGACCTGAAAATATCTTTGCAGTCCCACTTCCTACTCAAAACTCTGTAGTCAAAGTCTACAGAGATTTATTTTATTTTTAAAATAAATAAAATTTATTTTATTAGAGTGAGAGAGAGCATAAGAGGGGGAGGGGTAGAGAGAGGGACAAGCAGACCCCTTGATGAACAGGGAGCTTGATGTGGGGCTCGATCCTAGGACTCTGGGATCATGACATGAGCCAAAGGCAGATGCTTAACCAACTGAACCTCCCAGGCACCTCCAAATTCTTAATAAAAAAAATAGCTCTTACCCAGGAATTAAGGAAATATCTTTGTTATATTAGGGTTTTCTAGTTGAGAATAACCAAGACTCATGAAGCATGGGTCTTAAAGAAGCACATAAATAGCTATTTAGTGGGTCATTTTTTTAATAGTACAAAAGTACTTGAGTTTCATTTGAAATTCAGTATATATAAATTTACATAAATTTTGACAGTAAACAATGTTAAATGTATTCCATTGGATGTGTGTAAAGAAAGAGGTACCTGTCTTGATATATAGATTGCGATGAATTGGAATTTTTTTTTGAAAAATTATTGGTCATAATATGTTTTAACTGAATTTACTTTTATTTGAATATTGCAGTGTCTAAAAATGACTACAAAACGAAGTTTGTTTGTGCGGTTGGTACCATGTCGTTGTCTACGAGGGGAAGAAGAGACTGTCACTACTCTTGATTATTCTCATTGCAGTTTGGAACAGGTTCCCAAAGAGATTTTTACTTTTGAGAAAACTTTGGAGGAGCTCTATTTAGATGCTAATCAGATTGAAGAGCTTCCAAAGGTATGTTAATACTGTGTTTTAAGAATTGCCGTTGGTTGTTTTTACGCAAGAAATATGATATCCCCAATGTTGCCATAATGCTATCAATGTATTTGTGTTTCCATTTTTTTTTGGTTCAATTTTATCTTGAGATATGTAGCAGAGTTCAAAAAAAAATTTTTTTAAGATTTATTTATTTGCGAGAGGGAAAGAGTGCATACATGCGGATGAACAGGAGGTAGGGCAGAGGGAGAGGGAGAAAGAATCTCAAGTAGATTCCATACTGACTGTGGAGCCCTGCATGGGGCTGTCTCAGGACCCTGAGATCCTGACCTGAACCAAAACCAAGAGTTGGACGCTTAACTACTCTACCACACAGGTGCCCCCCAAATTTTTATTTTATTTTAATTTTTTTTAAGATTTTTATTTATTCATTCATGAAAGACACATAGAGAGAGACAGAGACACAGGCAGAGGGAGAAGCAGGCTTCATGCAGGGAGCCCAATGTGGGACTCTCAGATTTGATCCCGGGACTCCAGGATCACACCCTGGGCTGAAGGCAAACGCTCAACTGCTGAGCCACCCAGGCGTCCCACCCCAAAATTTTTAAAATACAATTTTAACCTTTATCTCTTCGAGTTAATTGCTTGAATATTTGAGAAAGTAAGTTAAAATTTTGTATTTAATTTCTGTTTCTTAGTGCCATTTTGGTAGGTAAGACTATACAATTTCTGCAGCCAGTAGATTTAGCTAGACAAAGATAGAAATTTTTTCTTCTAGTTTTTGTGAGTTGTTGGTCTACATTATTGTAATTGAGAATAAATTATCCTTTCGGTTGTCACATAATAATTCTGTTATTAAGCAGGTTTTTAGAGGTAGTGTTCTATTTGCCCCCATTTCAGTTTGTTTGAAAAGATTTTATAGAGGACTTAACATTTTTGAAATGTAAAAACTAGAGAAAGTTGTTTTGTTGCCATGAAACATCCTCTTACATTATCAGTTTGTTAAAATTTTTCATGGCTACTTTTTTTTTAAGTCCCAATCCCCTTCATTCTCAACTCACTTCCTTGTTTATTGTGGAAAAACTGCAGTAGCTTCCCCCCCCCCCAAATTTTTATTTAAATTCTAGTTAGTCCCATCAACTGAAGGTCACTGATCTACCTAGACCAAACGGACACCGAGGCTGAGTGGACAGAGGGGCCAAGGCCTGTAGGCAGAGCCTGTTCTTTCCTTTCTGTGTGATCTGCCTAGATTACCTTTCTGTTCCTTACAGTTCCCCTCACGTTCTGTGCTTGGTAGAGCAGTGGTGTCTCCAATGAACTTGTTTCCTGGTTTTGCATCTTGTGAAATGTTTTTTTGTATTTTTGTTGAAGGTTAAACATTTGTATAAATTGTAAATATATTTGGTTTATTACAGTAAAGGCTTTAGTACCAAAAAAAAATTGGTAATATTGGTTTCAGTAGAATTTAGTGATTGATCACTTATGTATAATACCCAGTGTTTAACATGAGAAGTATCCTCCTTAATACCCGTCACCAATTTAGCCATCCCTCACCCACCTCCCCTTTAGCTACCCTCAGTTTGTACAGTAGTTTTAATTTGTTAGAATGTTTTTCTACCCTAACATTAGTGTTTATCAAAACTGGATGGAGATGTGTTCGTGGATCATAAATACGTGTGGCATTTGCAAAAAACAAACTGATTTGCACTGGTGGATTTAGAAAATAAAAACAGAGGACACCCAGTTAAATTATCATTTTTAGATGAACAATGAATATTTTTTTAGTATAAGTGTGTTTTATGCAGTAAATAGGACATACTTCTTCTAAAAACTTTTCCTTGTTTATTTCAAATCCAAATTTAATCAAGCGTTCTGTAGTTCATCTGACATTCTAACTAGAATAGAATAGAAAGTACAGTGTGTTGCATGTGTCCATTGTTGCATGAAATATTTGTGTTAAATTTCTGTGTGTATATACATACTGTATGGCAGTGCTTTGAAAAAGGCTTTTTCTTTGGTAGCTAGTAATAAAAACATTTGTTTTTTGTTTTTGTTTTTTTTAATAAAAACATTTGGAAAGCCAATGCCATCCAAGGTTTTCTTAGAAAGAAATTGTATATGGCTATGGATAAAATATTAAAGATTGTGGGTTGCATGTTTATGAATTACATCCCTAGGTTGTAATAAGGTTCTTTGTAATTTACTCTTTCCTTACATATTGTTCTTTAGAAAGTAATTTATCTTACTTAGATTGTTCTGGAGAACTTGGAAGTCTGAGATTAGTACCTTTTTTGTAATAAGCAATAATAGTAGGATCTCAGCCTGGTGATTGGGTGGAAAAGAGAGTGTGATTTTGCTGTGATAGTGCAGATAACTAAATCACTTACACTACTTTCAGTTTTTGAAAGAATGCTCTTCTTAAATAGGGCTTATGCAGTGTCATCCTGATAACAGCTTTTTGTTTGGTTTTCTAAACACTTTCCTTTTTATGAGCAGTTTCAGATTCACAGCAAAATTGAAATTTCTCATATATACCTACACTGTTGTTAACATCCTCTGTCAGAGTGGTAGTTACATTAAAGTTGTTGAATCTATGTTGAATAATTAACATCACCTGAAGTCCATAGTTTATAGTACGGTTCACACTTGGTGTTGTACATTGTATGTCTGGACAAATGTATGAAACGTATCCTTGATTATGGTATTACACAGAGTATTTTCATTGCCCTAAAAATTCTCTGTGCTCCATACAGTTTTTTTGGTATGGAATGTAGAAGCGACCCATTTACTTACACTTTTGGTTAATGTATTTTATAAGTATATTTCATGCTTCTGATTTTAGCATAACAATATATTCGTTCCTTTTTTTTTCATCCCAAATCAGAATTATGTATTTTGAGTCATTTTAAGTCAGTTGTACTTATTTGGGTTTAATTTATGTAAATTTTCATTTTGAAATAAGGATGCTTGAAATAGACGTTTCAAAGTTTGCCATATTTAATAATTACTTATTTTTTACTACTTTAACAAAGAATACAACCATAGAGTTATTCTTACTGAGTGCATTTTCCTCAGGGCAGAAGTACGAGGATGTAATGATTGAGTAGTTCAATTCTGTTCAGATACATAGTAGGATGAAACAATAAGAAATCTTTCCTGGTATTTATGTGGGTATAAATCATTCAATTTAACATACTAATAATATTTATTTGTATAAAGGTTAATAAATGAAATGTTTAAGGAAACTTAATCAAAAATCATTTTTTCCCTTGTTTCATTAGCAACTTTTTAACTGTCAGTCTCTACACAAACTGAGTTTGCCAGACAATGATTTAACAACATTACCAGCATCTATTGCAAATCTCATTAATCTCAGGGAACTGGATGTCAGCAAGAATGGTAAGATTTTTTTCCCCTGGCTTTCTGTACTTGGAACATGTTATTTTATTAAAATTTCTATTGTGTGTTAACAAACAAAAATACAAATTTAAAAAGTGTTACCATATTAGCTTTCATATATATAAAGCTTATAAATATGATAGTTTAAGGCAATGTGGAGATAGATGTAAAAACTTTAAAATGATCTTTAAGATGCTGTCGATACATGCATGCATGTATTTACTTATGTATCCTTAAATTTATATATTTATATATATCCATTGTCCTGTTGTTTGTGATGATGAGAAACTATTAACAACTGTAGCGCTCACTGTTGATTACACTATTTAATATAGCCATAGAGAGAAATCTAATGGAGCTCCATCAGTACTGGCATGCAGTATTTACAGTATGGTGTTAAAGGTCAAAAAAAAGTGCAATATTATAAATCAATTGAATATCATTGAATATTTATTGAAAGACCACCTTTTTTCAAGTACCGTATTAGGACCTAGGATTACAGTTAATGATGAGAAATAAAAGGACGTGGTCACTGTTCTCTTGCTGTATATAGTCTTGGTTTAGTTTGATATACACTTATTTCAGTGTAGAAGATTCCAAAATGTTAAGTGCTTACCTGGTCCAATAGAGAAGTAAATCCTTGAAAATTTTAGAATGAATGCATATTTCTTATGTAATTACAAAAAAAAATACAAGAGTCAATATTTAAATGGCCTGCTAAAAGATAAGACTTCAACAAACACTAAATACTAAGTCATATTCAAAGAATTCTTTATAATGTTTGGAAAAAACTTTATGAACAAGTCCCCACAATTTAGTGCAGTAGCACCAGTAAATGCTTAGCAGTCGTTCCATACCTCTGGGTTGCAAAGTTTCTCTTTGTCTTGATGGTATGAACATACAAAAGTGATCTTTCTATCATATTAATTCTACATTTTAGGACTTGCAAAAACCACTTTAAGACTGATTGAAAGAATTATCCTCTTTTCACAACCAGCAGTTCACTTTCAATGAATTAGCAACTGTATCTACTCATTTCCATAATGAGTATTGACTGTAGTGTTTCTTTTTTATTCTAGTTTGAGCAGTTTTTTGTTGGTTATATTGAAAACCTGTTTTATGTGATTCTATCAGCTTGTGTCTTTGAGGAGTTGGAAATAATTTCTGTATAGTGAGAAGATTTAAGATAAGCCCTCAAGCATTCTACCCAGAAAGAGGATGACATTAGTTATTGCTGCCCAATGAACGCTTAATTTAATTTTTAGTGGAAGTAAATTTTATCTATTATTTTCTTCTCTTTCTCTGTGATTTCACATAGAAAGGGCCTCATCTATATTTTAAGTGGAAGAATCAGTCCCTTGGCTTTTACTTGTTTCCTTGCTTTTTTCTTTGTTGTCTTTTTTTTTTTTTTAAGATTTTATTTATTTATTCATGAGAGACACAGAGAGGCAGAGACACAGGTAGAGGGAGAAGCAGACATGCTGAGAGCCCTATGTGGGACTTAATCCCAGGACTCCAGGATCATGCCCTGGGCTGAAGGCAGGTGCTCAACCCCTGAGCCCCCCAGGCGTCCCTCTCCTTGTTGTCTTAAACTGATCTCTAAATGAAACTGCATTGAAGTGTAAATTTATTTAATTTGCTTTTCCTTTTGTGGCTAAAGTTTTGCTTTATTGTTAGGTTTTTAAAGAAATAAAAAGTTTACCGAGCTGCTGTCCTAAGTCATTGCAGAAAGCAACTAATGTTTGAAAAAAAATCATTTTTTGTGTTGTGTTCAAATGCCTGTCCTTCTTGAAAACTAATGGGGTTGATGATTAAAACATTCTGCAAAGTGGTTGATTGGGAAAGCTGGTGGGGAAGGGGAGATAAAAGAAATGAAGACTAGCCTAGTTTGTAATTCATCTGTCTGAGCACACAGAATAGAAAGCCAGGAATTTATAAGGCACAGAAACCAGAAAGAGTGGCTCAGATCTTTCTAACTGATATGGGAATGCTAGAGAGGTTAAATAAGGCCTTTCTTTTTAATTGAGTCAAAAAGCCCAGGAAGAATGAATTGAAAGTTTGTGGTGAAAACAGAAACCAGTTCATTGAACCTGAGAAAATCTGATGATTAGGAATCAACTGCTGGAAAAGGCTCTCACTTTAAGCTCAGAGAAGTTAAATTGATTATGAGGAAAATTACTGATGGCCTGGGAAGTCACTGTATTTTTTTCTTGTGTTTTCAAATTTCTGAAATTGCTAATGTGCTTAATAGTTGTTTAAATTGAGCTCTTGTAATAAAGTTTATTTAAGATAATGAGAGAAGAAAAACTGTGTGTTAAATACCTCAGAACTTAAATATTTTTAAACATTGATCACTGGTCCCTGCTAAGTATGTTAATAATGCAGGCTGTAACTGGGGTGTTCACACACTGTGCCTTATCATAGGCGTTATCACTCGTATTCTAGTGAAATCATACATTGGCTTGACCAGTATAATTATTTGAGTTTGCAATTCCTGGTTCAGACTGTTTTGACTGGAGCTCACTGTTATATTCTGTACTATTTATTACCATAGCTTTTCAAGTGCAGAAACAGTAAGGAACCAGTATTAACTTGCATTCTATAATTAGGACATTGAAGCATTGATGCCCTCCCAGTAGAGATCACCATGAACTCACCTTTCAACAGTTTGGGTTTATTATTTGATGCAGTGAGCAAAAACCCATATCATGGGGATCTAAGGGGTGTCTCAAGGTGTTAAAAAAAAGACTTATTATAGGGTTTTGACTTATATTTGGTGATTTGGGGGAACATTTAAGAATATGAGGTTTTACTCTGGGTGGGATGCTATCAGGAAGTAGGGGTAGTTCTATGATTGGGAACCTTTTTTTTTTTTTTTTTAGATTTTATTTTAGAGAGAGTGTGAGTTAAGGGAGGAGTGGAGGGAGAGAATCTCAGGCAGACTGATTGCTTGGTGCAGAGCCCGACATGGGGTTCAGTCACACGATCCATGAGAACACAGTCTGAGCTGAAACCAAGAATTGGACACTCAACTGATTGAGCCACCCAGGCACTCCTATGATTGGGAAACTTAATTTTATCTATAGGGAAGGAAAATTAGAACAAGCCTAAAGTTGTAATTGATAAAGAAATAGCAGTCACGCAGTATTTGCGAGAAGGGCTTGTTTGGTATTTTGTATTTTGGACGATGTTCACATTTGTTCAGACATGATTATAGTTGACCCTTGAATGATGTGGGGAGTTAGAAGCATCAACCCCATGCACTGTTGAAAATCTGTGTATAACTTTTGACTCCTCCAACCTCCAACTTAACTATACTAACAGCCTACTGTTGACCAGAACTCTTATCCCTAGCATATATATGTGTATAATATATATAACATATACAACATATTTTGTGTGTTGTGTGTGTTATATACTATATTCCTAAAGTAAGCTGGAGAAAAGAAAATGTTATTAAAATCATAAAACAAAAAAAATCATAAAACGTATTTATGGTACTGTAAAAAAAATTCATGGTTAAGTGGACTTGCACCATCCAAACCCATGTTAAAGGTTAACTGTACAAAGTTGCTTTAATTTTTATCTTTTATGGTCAAAGAATGGCCTAGTCTGATTTTGATAGTCTTTGAAGTTGTATAGTTCAACAAGAGAATACTAAGATGCCCCCCCCCCCCGAATGCCAAAGTAGTTAGCTCATAAGACCAGGCCAGCTCCTAAATGTCAGGAGTATATTCTCTTTCTCAGCAGTAAAGAAAGAGTTCTTCTATAACTAAGTGATAGTAATAGAAGGAGGAAAGCCACATTTTGTAATATCTAAACTGGTGTTTTCATTTTATTAAGTTGAAGCAGAAGAGTCAAATTCTTATAAAAAGGGTACATCACAAAGAAGGAACACTATTAAATTCAAGTGAGAATGAAAAAGGGAAAAGATACTTCGAATTGTTAGAGAATTAAAAAGTAACTCATAAAATTCAGGTTTTGCATACTTTAAGGATAAAATGAGCCATCTTTGAAGACTGGCTAATACAAGCATTTGAGAGTAGGTCTTGTCTTATTGAGAAAGTGACATGAGCAAGGACTTGAGAAGTTAGCTGTGTAGATATCTGAGTTAAGAATGTACCAGAAAGAGGGAATAATAGTGTAAAGTTTGGAAAGTGCAATCGTTCATAGTATGTGTGGGAAACAGAAGGCCAGGGTAGCTAAAACACAGTAAGTAAGATGGGAGAGTGAGAGGAGTAGAGGTCAGAGAGATAGATCCTTGTAGGCATTAGTATGTTCTTTCACATTTACTCTCAGTGATATGGAATCATTTGGAAAGCTTTGAGCTGATCGATCAGTGCATGATCAGATTTATATTTTAAAGACTTATACTGGTTATGTGTAGAAACGTTGTGGGTATAAAGGTGAAAAGTAACCAGTTGGAATGCTATTTCAGTCATCTCTGGTGATAGTGATAGAAGCAGTGAGATGTGGACAGACTCTAGAGGTACTTGAAGGTTGAATCGATAAGATTTTAAGATGGACTGAATATAGGACATGAGATAAGGGATAAAGATGACCTCAGTAGCATTGGTCTATGCAAGTGAAAGGATAGAGTTGCTGACAACTGAGACCGGGTGGGGGGTCATCTGTTGAGTTGTAATTTTTGGTGGAAAAAAATCAGATAATTTTTGGACGTGTTATATTTGAAATAAGATACCTGGTTATTCACAGGGTGGGGAGGGTGGTCTGGAGTTTTCAATCAAGCGAGGAATGTGGTAGCTATACATATGTGGGAGTTGTCAGCATAAAGCCAGAGGTTAGATTCAGTCACCAAGGGCATGAGTGTGAAAAAAGAGACCTAAAGAATGATCCCTAGTGGCAACCCAACATTAAGAAACCTGGAAGAAGAGGAGAAAGGTACAGAAGATCCTGAGAAGAAATATTACCAAGGAAAGAAAGAAACCAGTAGGATGATAATATTTTTCTTAGCTTTTCAAGAAAAGGAACCATGTCTT